ATAGCAAAAGGAGAAATTTCTACAGGGGACTCAAAGGTTAATCCTCGCTGCTCGCACGCGATCAGCAACTATTTCAAGCACGCCGTAGCGTGCTTGGAATAGTGCAGAAGTTTTATTTCTGCGGTCAGATTTGATACGCGAATTTGCTCAAAGAAACATCGTTCATTGCGGATTGTCGAAATAATTTTTGCCGAATAGTGCATTTCATAAACTTTCCTTTGATATAGAGTTTATGGTGGTTATACTTCAAATAGCGCTTTCAAAAGGATGTTTTTGCGAAGGACGCCTGCAGAGGTCTACCGTATTCCTAACTGACGAAGAACAAAATTTATCCAATCAACTAATGCTACAAAAGGTAATGATTTTCGTCGGGTGGTGGTGACTGTTAAGACACAAAAATCATTCAAAGGGCAAGTTTATTCGAACGCACTACGCGTATGAGGGCACACCCTTGACCTTTTGGCCCCACAGAATGTTCTTGGCTCGTTCTTGGCTAAATAAAAACACTTCTTTTGAACGTTCCATTACACCATAACGTGCGTCTAATCTTCATGTGAGTCGTGACCTGTTGAGACACGCACTAAATGCTAATAAGAAAATTAACTAAGAACAGTTGCGAATGCTTGATTCACTCGTGCTTCTCTAAACAGGTCACGACTCACGAGCGTTAGAATTTCCTGCACCGTTCAAAACAAATGTTTTTTTTTCTCAGCAAAGAATGAGCCAAGAACATTCCGTCGAGTTGTTTTGCAGAGGACTGCTAAGAAATGTACGAAGTTTTGAAACGCTCGTGCTGAGGTTTTGTACTGCTAATTAGGTCTTTTGTTTTGCTACCCCGCTGTCGTCGCCGGCGTGGATTACTTAAATTCCCTGTAGTAGATAACCAAAATGAGCAACAACAACAACAAATTATTCTAAGGGGCTCTTCATATGAGCCCGGTTGACCGGGCTGGCCCGGTTTTCGAGATCTCGCCTTACCTCTAAATCCATTGTAAAATTCCGCCCTCTCATATGAACACATCGAGAACTTTACAAAGGATTTAGAGGTAAGGCGAGATCTCGGAGACCGGGCCAGCCCGGTCAACCGGGCTCACACAAAGAGGCCCTAAACTAGACGCTTAGAGGCGTTTACTCGGGTTACTTATGTGTGACACAGAAGGTGCATTTGGCCCAAATATTGCAGTATTACCTTGAGAATGTGGAGCCGAAATTGTTTTTGGATTCATGTCTGCTTAAGATAAACTTATTATTACTGATTCTGGGATTAAGAGTCTTTTAAATAAGGAATAAACTGCAGGAAGCATGGTTTGTAAACTTTGATTTGTCCACTGTGGAGGATTATAAATAATCTTGGCGGCATTCTTTGCCCTTTTATGAAAATAAAAAGTTAGTGTCTAGACCATAGTTTCTTCCGTCTGGGTAAAGCAATACCAGACGGTAGGTTTCTCTTAAACTTTCGATAGTAACTTTTGGGATACTTTACTTCTTCGTGATCAAAATTACATTTATTGACATAGCAATGCATTCTGAATGACATAGGCTTATTTTTCACGACATACTCATGAACCTTTATCGGACGGTGTTTTTCTGCCTTTTTGCGAAGGACGCGTGATTTTTTTGACTGGAACTCTACTTGGATTGTGATCATATACTGAAGAGTTAGAAATTTAGTATAACGAGACCTGCATTCCTCTTATAATGTGATCCGTTATTAGGATAAACAAAAACAGATAGTTGGACAGCTTGTTCAGATACATCGCAGTTGATTGTAGAAGGCTTGTTGACAACGTTATGGAATGTTGTAAGTTTACTAACAGAACCATGAATATAATCAACAGGCTAGCTGATAGATGAACAAACGATAGATTGTTAAAGAAACTTTTGACATCATTAAGTAAAACACTACAATAAATAAGAAACTAATCCTAACTGTTACTGATATAAGTCCAAGGTTTCTTCATTCTGTTAACGCATCAAATGTCATCTTGGAAGATTCCAATATGACTTCCATGTTGCTTGAACGCTTTCATGCTTGTAGAGGAATACCACAGACCGTCAAGCAACGCAGGCTTGCACACTTTCGACATTGTTCATAGATAGACAGATAGAGATAGATAGATAGATAGATAGATAGATAGATAGATAGATAGATAGATAGATAGGAAAAAGAAACCTAGACTCGGTCTACCTACGTAGCCCGAGTAACAAGCGCACGCGATTAAAAAAAAATTGATTGGTTGGCGCGAGTTTTTGCGACCAGATACAGAGCCTGTGAGGTGAAACAAAAGCAGTCATAAATTACTTTTGATAATTAGCAGATTTAAATGTACTCTAAAGCCTATTTTTTCCAAATTTGAAAAGACCCTCCTCACTGTTGAAGATGTTCACTGAACGACGGCCCTTGAAATATCACTTTAACATGTTAGATTTGAAACTCTCTCTTCTTTATTGCCTTAACAACATCAAGCGGAAAAGCCACTGCGAAAAGCAACACCAGAACAGATGAATACATCTGAGTTTAACGAATAAAGGGGGTAAGTTTCAAAAGAAACTGTGGTGCTGCGTCGGTGCGGGTAATAAGGTAACTTGGTCTTATCAACTAAGTTGAAGTTGTAAATTGGTCACAGTTAAGAGTTAAAAAATTGACGTTTTGAGCGTTAGCCCTTCGTCAGAGCGAAGAGAGGAATTGTGAGTTGGGTGTGTGCTTAAATGCACAAAGTGAAGCTACGCTATTGGTGGGAACATAGTAACGAGAAAAACAATAAATTAGTAGAATGAAAAGCGTTCGTTGATACCTATGGGATTGAGAGAGCCGCTTTAAAAGATAAACTTTTGTTCAAGAGTTTTGCGGCTTTCTGAGCTACCTAATTGTAAGGAAAGACCGCAGACTGCCATATGCTGCTGGAATGATTAGGTAGATTAAAGTATCTAGCGACTGGTTTTGATGCGTCCTTGTCATTCCTTTCCACGTTGCGAAGGTGTTCTCCGAATCGGTCATCTGGTCGTCGTCCTGTTTCGCCGATTTATATCTTTTTGTAATAAGAGTAAGTTATGCAATAGATGACATTGGCGGAGGCACATGAAGTGATCAGTAATCTTTATGGATCGTTTGGGTCCCGATATTTTCTCAGCGTTGTGAATGAAAGGACAAGTTTTGCGTCATGCGCGAGCGTATTTAAAAGTGCCGGCTTGGTCATTAGTTTGAAACGAACTTCTGACCAAAAAGTTGCCTACGTTTTTGCATACTTTATGGTTTTTGTCACGTTTGAATGAAATACATGGAGGTTGCGAAATGATAGTGCCAGTCTCTGGATCGTTTTGAAGTAATTTAAAGTTTTTAATAATAATGGATTTAGCAGCGTGGTTGTGAGGGTGAAATGTGAAAATGAATTGAATGCGGTCGGAATTTTCCTTCTGTGACGTTTGTAGTGCTGACTGTCGATCAATAGGTTGAGCGCAGTGGTGACCCGCTTGCACACAGAAACAGGGTAACAACGCTTTTCGAAAAACTAGCAGGTTGACTCTGATTTGTTGAAAAAAATCACATCATTACATAAACGACGAAGTCTTAGAAACTGAGAAAAGGGAATGGAATTCTTGACATGAGATGAATGCGAAGATGAATACAACAAGTAACTATGCGAGTCTTTAGGTCTGTAAAACACACATAAACCGTTGCCTTCAATCGAAACTTTGATTTCTAAAAAGGGTTAAAGAATTCTCGGAAAATTGCCAGGTATATTTTAGAGCCGGGTGAAAGAAATTGACTGCGGTTATAAATTGAGTTAGGTCCTATCTGGTAGAGGAGGTAGCGCCGATACAGTCGTCAATGTAGCGACCGTAGAGTTCAGGCTAGGCGAAGTAGTGTCTAAGATCTAGGTTCCTTGACAGTGCGTTGATCGAAAAAATGTTGGAGGGCCAGAAGACCTTCGGCATTAGGAATGACAGTATAAAGAGAAGTAATATTCATAGTTAAAAGAGGTTTGTCTTGGTGAAGGAAATAAATTTTGCGAAAGAATTCAAAAGCGTGTTGGCTGTCTTTGATGTATGATGGTAAAGTTTTGACGATGGGAGCCATAATTTTGTCTAAATAGCTGGAAATAAGTTCGGTAGGACAACTGTAAGCCAAGACAGTGAGTCCACCTACGTTGTTAGGTTCGTAAATTTTAGGTAAAAGTAAATACAAGAAGTTCTAGGAGTGGCAAAGATGAGATTGTTTGCAAAGGCCAGCCACTCCTGTTTAGCTATGATTTCGTTAATCTTTTTTGACAGTGTTTTGATTACTGATAAATTTGGGTTTAACAGCTGAGTTGGGAGAATCGCGAACTGAAAAAATTAATCTACAATTTTAGCCGTATTGGCGGAGTGGGTAGCGTAAATTTGCATTAATAAGATCGATTTCCACTGGAGCACTATGAGTTGATCAACAATAAGCGCATCTCACTGATTCAAGGTCGACAATTCATAAACTAATTCAAGTTACACTTAGTGACTCACTCAAACCACCTCTCTCTATGTGCAAGTCGCCTGGTATAGATCGAAGCAAAAAAATATTCTTCTAGCAAAAAATATTTCTATATCATTTTGTTGTGTTGATATAAATCGTAAAGCGATTTGTGTTCAGTCATAAAATACCTTGAGCCGATTGAAAACTAGCTTCTGCAGAGTGTATGTGTTTTGACTCGCGTAGATCAGACTAAGAATGTGCGGCTTTTTTTTATGCGAACGAAATTGAGAATAAAACTATCCTTTAGAAGCTGTCAGTTTTCACTTAAGTATAACAAACTTTCAATAAATAATGCTCAAAACAATTTTGAGAATTTTACAAGGTTAGTTAAGCACGATTTACACTTTTTAGGTCAAATCGACGCGCGACACTTGACAACAAAAATGCATGTTTTAGAATGGATTTGGCTTTCAATTGTAGAGCAAATCAATATTTCGCTTCAGGAAAGAAAATAGGAAAAAAGAAAATTAGCAAACGCTACACAAAAAGACACTTTTTGAGAGAATTTTTCTTTTTATTTCGGGAAAAAGGTTCTTTATCGAAATCATTAATTTTGCATGCGATTCCTGTTTGATCAAGGGAAGCACTTTCCATTCAGGTAAATTCCATTTGCGTAATGCTAATGATCACAGCATTTGATCGACAATTATGCTAGATATCCACCAAACCACCATTGTGTGGTGGAAAAATCGCCGGCATTGCAACGGAAGTTGTTATTAATAATGCGGTGAAATCCAAAGTTGTCCTCACTGGGGGAGGCCCCAGAGGTGGGCACGAACCCACAGACAGTATGACTGCTGTCGATGTGAAGCATGTAGGTGTTATGAACTTGCCAGAACCTTGCTGTTGTACCAGGGCCCGCTGCATGCCCACGGATATTTGCGTAGTCCACCAACAGGCATTGGCCGTGCCCAATAAAACCCATGATATCGTTGTTGCTGAAACTTCCCCTGACGTAGTCTCGATAATCTAGGTTATCAAGGAGATTGAAGCTGCAGGTTGCTCGCCAGTGTGTCGATCTTCTGCGGAGGCCCTGCATCCGAGCGAGCGTCTGTCGGCACGAGTCCCAGTTAGGTGTCTTCTGGTTAATTGGTGCGTCTTCTGAAAATGTGCTGCTTCTGAACTGGCGTAAGCCTCTGGACGCTCGATTCCAAGACATGACAAGGGTCCAGGCTGCACCCGGCTCCGATTCAAAGTCGCAGTAAGCAACATATCGTTGGTACTTAGCGTCGAAAAGCCAGTAGAAACCGTTTTCAAACACTCCATTTCCCAAATAATCCAGGCAAGATCGGGCTATAAAGTTGTTTTTTCCCAGGTGGATTCCCTGAGAAAACTGAGACAAATACAATCAAAGTGTTAGGAATGTGGTTATGAGCTTACCACGCTAGCAGATGCCACTGACGTATGCGGCTGTCTATTCAAGGTGTGTTTTTTCTAATCTACCACCACTTACGTTTTCAGATGTTACCTCTAACTTTCACTGAAAACATGATAAATGATTTAGTTCTGAAGCCCCTAAACTGCATGCAGACCTGTTTACCTAGGTTTTTAGTGCATGGGAATTATTACTACAAAACATGCTATAAGTTACAATGTGTGAAAACAGACTTGTTTTTGAAATTAACATAACCAAGGAAAAAACCGCAAGATTTCTTTGTGTAAAGATCACAACGTTAACATGGGCAACACCCAAGAAGGAACAGAGAAACAAAATCAGTCCGGCAATTTCGACATTCAGCGTCAATACGATGAATGCATATTGCAAACCCGGGTTCAAACCATTTATTGCATAATCCAGACACCTCAGAACATAATTTATCATATATTAGAGAAATTTTCGATGGGTTTTTGATGGACCAAAGCCAAAGTAGTTAGAACGGACATCAGCGCAAAGAGAAATTTCTTACGAGAACTCAAAGTAAGAGCGAACGTTTAGAAGAACATTAAATCGTTTGTCTCGTGATACGGAGTCAGGTTAAACAACTGTATGGATCGTGATGTTTCGACTGCTACACTGCTAGTTTTCGTGTCGCTATATATATCGACCCTCACTTTTATCCGGGCTAGAAACTGTTTTTCCTGTTTAAGGTCAGCCTTTCCACTGATCGACCGCTGTGCTTTGTTATTGTGGGCATCCGCGCTCGTAAAAATTCGATCATTCCGGTCTCTTTATTGATATCATTCCGAACTGTGATAATGCAGATGGCTTCCTCAAGCCTACGAGTGTACTAGAGAGGGTCATGTTCAATGAACTTAACCTTGTTACAAACAAGATCGAGTCCTGTTATCATTACTATTGATGGCGTCACTCTATATCGTGAGACAAACAATCAAACGTTCATTTATCAGGACAGCGGCGACGAAGAAGACTTCGACTAAAACATAAATTATTGTTTTTTTAATTAAAACTGATTTTCCCTGAATGGCTAGATTTGTTTACTGTCCCTTACGGCACCACACTTCAGCTTCAGCAGAACGTTTGCGAGAAGCTTTGAATTCCTAATAAAGATTTAATTTTGCTGTCGAGGTTTCTAGTGTCAGACCACGCAAATTTTGCTGATTTCACGTTGTTGTTCTGCAAAAGACTGCTCCGAAATGCACAAGGTTTTAAAACGCACGTGCTGAGCTATTGTACCGCTTATTAGATCTTTTGTTTTGCCACCTCCTCGCTGTCGTCGTCTTCGTGGATTTTATACAACCAAAATGAGCAGCAACCGCTCTTCTGTGATAAAAACAAGCAGTCGGCCTGAAGCGCTTGCGATAAAAAAAGTCATGGTTGAGTTTAGTTCTACTTTGATTGGTTGGCGTGGGTTTTTGCGACCAGTTACAGAGCCCTGTGATGTGAAACCAAAGCAATTAGAAGTAACTTTCGACACTCAATCGAATACTATCCGAGTAGATTATCAGCAGATTGATATAACCTCTAAAGCCTATTCTTTTTTAATATTTGGAAAGACCCTCCCCTCTGTTAAAGATAGGGACCTGAAGTAGTCAGGACGGCAACGCTAAGGAAGACGTCGATTACTTTTAATTAGAATTTCGAAAATGGCTGCTTGCATTTACCATCTCATACGGCGCCTTAACTGAACCTCAAAATAACGTATTAAAGTAGCATTGAGTTCCAAATGGAAATTACAATAATTTGCCGTCGCGGTTTCGGTTCGTAAACGACGCAAATTTTGGTGATTTCACGTTGTTGTTTTGCAAAGGACGGCTATGAAATGTACTAAGTTTTAAAATGTACGGCTGAGCTATTGTTCTGCCAATTAATCTTTTGTTTTTCTACGTTCTCGTTGCTGTCGCCGTCGTGATTTACTGAAGGTCCCTGATGTTTATTAAAAAACGGCCCTCCAAGTATAATTTGAACAATATTTATATGAAACTCACTCACCTTTTCTGCTTCAACGATGTCAAACGGAATAGTCACCGCGATAAGCAACACTAGAACAGATGAATACATCTTTGAGTATAATCCCTGACGCTGGGAGAATCGCGAACTGAAAAAATCATGCTGACTGATCTATTTATATGTTTTTGTTTAATCTTGAACTTTGAACGAGCACGTTTTTTAAGCACGTTTTTTAAGCACGTTTTTTAAGCACGTTTTTCTTTAACCTTTTGCAGATTATTGGAGTTTATAGGAAAGGGTTATTTTGTAATCACGTTCGCATAAAATTATTTTTCTCTTTATGTGAATTGTCATGACAAAATGTGTCTTTCGATTTTATCGGGACAAATTAATTCCGCTAGTGCGGAAAGGCCGGCCCTCAGATGAGAGGTGCTGAAAGAGCATGTAACAATGTTTTCCCTGTTGAAATCACGAAAATGTAAGTTTTATAATGTAGCACGTGTCTAAGAGTAATCTTTTAGATTATAACGCTAAATTATAACGCTTTTTCTTATGCTTCCTAATACATTTCAAGCAACATGTTACGCCTGTCAACTCTTGAAAAGAAAGGTAAGAACATAAAGAACGTGCAAACTAACACACCATGTTACAGCGTGTGCGATTATCGGAGGCGAAAGAAAGAGTGGAGGCCAAGTATATATTTAAAGCTATATATTTAATGAGCAGAGGAGCTCACAAGAGCAAGGCCTGAGGTCAACTGAACTGTTGCATAATCACATCAGGATATTTATAAGTCGAGCGCGGTTGGTAGGTAAGAGGATTAAGGGCTAATCCCACACAGCGTGCCAGAGAACTGATGACAGTATGACACACGAACATGTACAAAGCATGTTGACCTCTCCCTAAGTCACAAAGTTGCATGCGATCCGCGTTAAAAGAAACAAATTGATTTGGAAGAACTAAAATCCTTAAAAAACACGTGGTGACAATCCTAATTTTGAAGATGCAAGGGAAGGAGGAAATGATGAAAGCTTTGGTGACAGAGATGAGGTTGAGGATGGTTACCGTGACCCCGGCCCCCTACATGTTCCCGTGTTTCATTAGATTATTTGGTGACGTCAGTCCAGCATGCTAGACAAGGAAGGTCGTAATTCACGTTTATAAATCTGGGACATTTTATTTTTCACTCACATGTTTTCAACAGAGAGAACTTCAGTCTTGCCGGTGGTAAACCATCAAGCCTCGATCGTAGCCGCGGTGAAGGGTCAGTCACCCAGTAAAAGGAACTTGCCGCCTACTAACCTCAGACAAATGCTTTAAAACTTGATCAATGTAATACTGAAGATAGGAAAAGAAAATATAACCACTCCTTCCACCATGAAGAGCAAGAAATAACAGACTTAAAAGGACTTTTAAAAAAGTCATATTAGTTTGATAGCTGCAGTGTTTTAAAAGTTCATTCTTAGGACAGGGGTCGCTAGTAGTATGCGTGTCACAAGACAGTGATACAAATAAGTGAACATCAAACCCTCGTTTATCCATCTACGTGGTCAAGCAAATATTCACACGTATACGTGCTTTGACATTTTACCCCGATAAAAGTTATTCATTACATGGCGATCGCTGCGTTGACATCGAGAATAATTATTTCTTAATGTAAGTCGCAATTTAGGCCTGCTGGACTTCCTAAGGGTTGACTTCTGACATAAGCGGCGCCTTAGGTTTGATTATAAATCTCTTCGGGATTGCTTAGCTGTTCCTCTTCGATATACAATAGTTTGGATTGTATAGACTGCTTCGGTTTCTTAACTTTTTTCGAAAAATTTCCGCTTACCGGTCATTTAGTTTATTTGAGAAACGTGACCGGCGATCGACCTCACGCAATTTCTTAGTATTCTAAGTCAGCGAGAAAATTTAGGCGAGAGTAGCGGGAGTTTCGTGCATTAGATGTAGTCTGCGTCAAATACTTAAGCAGCCTGGTGAATTCTTGTTTACCCATTTTAAACCTCATGACTACACAGTTTCTTTCCTGGCCCGCCATAGGCGCCGCGTCCAGCTCGAAAAGAGTTTGGGCTAAAATGACAAAAAATGTAATGCGATTCGATGAGCGGCTGTCACGCAAGAGGTCAAGGCCAATCTTTCAGTTTGGGTAGGAACTCTATCAAATATCACATTGTCAATCGCATTACATTTTTTGTCGTTTTAGCTCGAACTCTTTTAAAGCTGGAAGCACTGCTCATGATGGCGGGCCAAGAAAGAAACTTTGAGGAATTAAACTGCGTGGATGAAGCTTAAAGAGATATCTATTTTGATTTGTAAATATATCATACTAGACCTTTTTAAAGGCCTTTAAATGGGTCATGACAGCTTTTCAGCGGATCACACTGTATTTTTGAGAAAATAGTCCAAACTCTTTTAAACCTGGACGCACCGCTTATGGCGGGCCAAGAAAGAGAATTGGACGAATTAAAATACATGGATAAAGCTTTAACGTGGTGTGTATTGTGATCTATAAATATACATGGCAGACCTCTTCATAGGCCACTGAAGTTGACCTCTATTTTAGCTCTGCGAAAAAGACGCGAAGTACCTTATTTCAAGGTACTGTGATCAAGGTACTGTTGGTTCACAACCGGTAACTTAGCTTTCAAGGTACTGTGATCAAGGTACTGTTGGTTCACAACCGGTAACTTAGCTTCTCGCAATTTGAGGTCTCGTTAAGGCACTTTTTCCGCTAGACAAAAGGAGATTTGAGACCTAGGGTAGAGTTTTCCCCCATACGGACCTCCCGGCTGGTGAATAACATAAATATATGAGAAATTTTGGTTGCTTTCTTAGTCGCCTTTTTATGCATGATAATTAGCATGAAGTGTAGACGTAGGATGGGAACTAAGATCGCAATTTGACTAACAAATATCATAAAAATGACATCCGATTATCCTGATTTGCTCATTGTTTGAAGATTTCTTCCTCCGCACCTCTCAACACCTTAGTATGAAATGAAAATTCAAAAGTGCCACTTGATTCAATCAAATGTATCATTTATGAGACATAGGGCTCGGCAAATTCCTCCTCAGTGTATAACCAGGGGGAAGGGAGCCGGGTCACCCCCTCTTCCCCTCTTTACCTATCCTGGGTTGTAACATTTTGTTAGAGTTAACGTCTCTGTTCATACAGATCAATTTAGCTGGGCGCCCAATCTGCGCATGTGCGTGACTAAGTGGCGTGCTTTCAGACTCTCAGCCGAATCAAGTTGTCTCACACGAGTTACAAACAACCTCACAAGT